GTGTACTAAAAACCACTGAATTGTATACTTTAGGTGGGTGGATTGTGTGGTGTATGAGTATCTCAATAAATCTGGTAAAAATACATATATTCCATCATGTGGCAGAAATGCGGACCCTTCTCATTAACAGCTGAGGCAGAGCCAGAGGTGGGGTCCTGCCCTGCTGGTCCTGCCCTGCGACTCTCCATGATCAGAAGGATCTGAACACAAAGCAACCATCACATGCTCGCTCCCTGCAGGCCAAGCCCCTCCCCCTCCCCCCCTGCTCACCCAGGCGGGGCTCCCAGGCGTGGCCGCGTCCCACCACTGCCACTGTCCTTGCAGCAGCTCCTGCTCAGCCTGCCTCCACCATGGTCCTCACCCAGCCTGCCCACCACAGGCCTGGCTTGGGACCCGCCTCTGGCTTTCCAGCCCTATCCAGACTGTCCCAATGATGGGCTGACGGTCGCTGAATTCTTGCTTGAAACCCTTGGGCAGGAGACAGACATCCCAGCCCAATTTCATGATCCTCACATGTAAGACCTGTACGAGGCCTTCCTATGCTGCACAGAGACCCCCCGGCAGCATGGCCAGGGCGCCCTCTAGCCTCCCCGTGCATCCAGGGCCTGGGCTGTCTCTCCCCGACCAGGCCGCCCAGCTGTGTGCACGGCTCTGACAGCACACAGCTCTGAAATCACTTCCATGTCCACCCAGACATTGGGTCCTGCTCCCCTGACCCTGGCACTTGTCTCCGAGCTGCCCCCACAGACCCTGTCCAGGCCGAACCCTGACTTGCTCCTCATTGATCTGGCCCCTCAGCTGCCAGAGCCCCTTCTTGGTGCCGGGCATCTGCTCTCACTTCTCCAGAGCTCAGACACCCCAGAGGGACACTCTAGGCCTATTAAGACCTAGCCCCAAGAGCATAAACCAGAGTGCTCCCTTCTTCCAATGCCTTCCCACCTCTGGGCCTTTGCATGGGCCACGCTTTCTACCAGGTGCTCCCTTCTGCCTGCAGGGTAAACCCTTAAATATCTCTCACAGAAAAGATCCATGATGGAAAAAGGACTGGGAAACCTTCCTCCACACCTCAAAGCAGACCCTCCAGGGGACTCTCCCAGACTTCTGATCCTGCATGGGGCTAGGATGATCAGTAGGGAGCACTCCATTTTTTAAATCCTCATCAGAGGATTTTAGAGAGAGGAAGAGAGAAATATCAATGTGAGAGGGAAACACTGATTGGTTGCCTCCTGTACATGCCCCAGTTGGGGGATGGAACCCACGATCTAAGTATGTTCCTGACCAGGAATCGAGCCTGCAAACCTTTTGGTGCCTGGGACAATGCTCCAACCAACTGAGCCACCTGGCTAGGGCAGCAGGGAGCATTTCTTAAATGAACAGAGGAGACACTTCCTGGGTGGAGGAAGGATGGATGGAAACCGGGTCCCAGACTTGGGAAAGGTGATCTAATGTTTTTGTTTTTTTTTTTCAGAATGTCACTCCATTTCCCAGTATCAAAATCTGAGACCCCTGAGGGTAGGTCTCTCCTGGGGCTGCAGGTGGCCCTTAGAAGCTCCAAGTCCACATAGCTTAGCGCCCACTCCTCTTCCGACTGTGTCCCACCTGGGAAGGTGCCCAGACGGGACTGGGTGGGCTTATATCCCCATTCACCAAATGTGAAAAATGAGGCCCAAGCAAGACAAGTGACACGCCCAGTCTCATAAGGAGTCAGGGCACCGCTGTTTCATGCCCCGCTCTCAAACCAGCAGTCAAAGGGCCTTTGCGGGGGAGGATGCAGGGGCAGATACCCCCAGGGGCAAAGACCACCAGCCAGGTTGGAAAGCTATGCCGGAACACCTAGCAACCCTACAGAGTAGTCCAGAGCCTCTGGAAAACAGGAAGGTACCAAGATTCCCTACCCGCCACACCCCACCCCCGACTCCCCCTGCTGACCCCAACCTCTGACCCTCCACCCACCCCTTTACAGCTGTGTGACCTCAGGCTTGTCATGTCACCACTCTGTGCCTCAGTTTCCCCACCTCACACAGCCACTGTAAGGATCAAGAGAATACACAGGGACCAAGCACTCAGCACAGAGCCTGGTATACAGCAAGTGCTCACTAAGTGATTTATAAGTAAATAAATGATGCCAGCGCTACTCCAACCACCTTCCCATGTTCCTGCCACCAACACTAGTATTATCTGCATGTTCCTTCCCTTCATATCACTTACTGTTTGAATCAACTCCCCCTTGTTTTAGATTAGAAGGACACATTTCATTGTTACCAAGACCGAGAAAATAAGAAGCCACTGCCACAGAGTTAAAACCCTGGGAAACAGACACACTGAAAATGAAAGCGTGTTATTCAATGATCACGATATACTTCTGCCTTTTACCTGGCTGTGCCTCTCATTAAAAAGGGAGATTAGCACCCTGACTGGTTGGGCGATGTCCCACAAAGCAAAAGGTCTCTGGTTCGATTCCCAGTAGACTTGGGGTTGTGGGTTCAGCCCCTGGATGGGGCTCGTAAGATGGATGTTTTGCTCTCACATGGATGTTTCTCTCCCTCTCTTTCTCCCTCACTTCCCCTCTCTTTAAAAATAAATATATAAGCCCATTTTATAAAAAGGGAGATTAGCAAGTGTGAAAGAAACGTCGAGGACCCAGTTAGCACCCAACGGCGACTGCTTGAGGATGTCCAGGCCTGAAGGTGGACTGCCTCCGGGAAGGTCCCGCCCCAGCTCTGCTCTCCTGCCCTTGTCCCAGGGCAGGGCTTGGCCATCTGAGAATGGCTGCTCTGACCTAAAATATCCTTCTTTTACCGGCCAGACCCTGAGGCTCCCAGGGGAGCAGTACCTCAGCCAGCAGGCCTGGCACCCAGCTCCCCCCCGCCCCTGGAGTGTGTCCCTTCTGTCCCCCCGACTCTCAGCCCATCCTTGCAGCATCAGCCATCTCTCCCCCCACCTTGGTGATTATTTACTCGCTATTTTCCAATAAATCCTTAAATTCTTAAGCTAGTGAAAATCTGTCTAACCCTTTAACGAAATTTTGTCACATTCTTAAATTTATTTTTAAAAGAAACTTTCTGGCACCACCCTAAGCCACAACCACCTCCAGTGACTCTGACGGCAAAATCCATGGAAACAGTACGAGGTGAGTGATTTGTTCTAGCGGCTGCGGCCTCTGTGCCTGGGGCCCGCTCTGCCCTCTTGGAAAGGGACCCACCGGGAGCTGGGGCAGGTGTTCCCGATCAGGGCGGCCCCTCCCTGCCATCATCACCCCAAGCCCTGGGGGCGGAGGCTTTCTCTCATGGCTATCTGAGCCCGTACTACCAGGGCCCAGCCCACATCTGTACCCAGCAAAGCCAGTGATTCAATTAATGGGGGGCATGGCACCATATCTGGCCTGTGACCAAGAAGGTGCAGGGCAGGGCACCCTCCTTTTGCCGTGTGACTCTAGGGCATGCTGCTTCTCCTCAGGCCTCAGTGTCCACACTGAGAAGGAAAAGGGTGGTAGGAAAGACAACAATGGGGTCCAACCAAAATAGCCCCTCATTTCTCTGCTCTGAGTGGGCATTTTCCTAGATTTTCACCCCTCATCCCCTGTGGCAGCCCCCTCCCCAGGGTCTGCCGTCAGGAGGCCCAGAGGTACCCCTTCAGCCTAGAGAGCAGAGCAGGTAAACAAGTGGGGGATCCTAGTGCAGACAAGGCTTGGCCCTGGCTCCCCTGAGCCCCTGGCTAGGCTCCCAGGGTGTGTTGGGGTGCAGCTGAGCTTTTGTCTAGGTTTTCAAAAGCAGAGGACACTGGGTGTCGAGTTCAGGGGAGGGCAGGAGGCGGAGGCTCCCACCCAGATGAGGGCGTGGTGGGTCACGGGTGAATCCCTGGAGGAAAGGTGCATGCTTGGAAAACACACCCAGTGGGAAGGGCAAGAGGAGCTGGACTGGCTGGACCTCCAGGTCCGGGCCTCCAGCCCCATGGGAACTGGGCCCAGAGCAGGGAAGCAGACGCCTGCCCCCAGTGCACACATAGTGGGCAGGCTGCTGGAGCCCCAGACACCTGCTTCCCATCCCTGCCCTGGCAAGCACACTCCACAGCCTCTCAGCGCCCACCTGTGGGAATGGAGGTGTGGGGCCACCCTGACGCCAGAAAGGACTCTGCCTGAAATGACCATGCACACTCATTCAGCACCTGCTTGTGCAAGAATCATCTGTTGCCCGGCAGCTCCTCTCCTAAACCCCACAGACCCAGGCCACCCACTCTATTCCAGCCTGGGCCCAGCGGACTCTTGGCTACACCATCTGGGGCCCCCTTTAGGGGACAATTTCCCAGGAAGGGATCTCAGCTCCAAGCTCCCCTGTTGGAAAGCACCTGGACTTCACACATCCCAGACAGGAAGCCTGAAGAGAAGGCCCCTCCCTCCAGCGGTAACTCGGGACAACATCTGGCAGCCCACCCGGCCTTAGCAGGGTCTCTGGACAGCACTTGAGGCCCTTGGGGACGGCTGCCAGAAGGAGGGAGGACTAGCCCGTGGGCGCGTCCAGGGCACAGGGAGCAGCGAGCTCAGGATGGAGGGTGAGGGGGTGAGGTAGGGGGTGAGGTGGGGGGTGGCGAATGACCTCAAGGCCTGACGGTGCAATGGGGAGGGGCTGCTCCATCACCCCAGGGAGCCCACTCCGGAGTCCACAGGTGGCCCAGGCTAACCCAGGGGGCGCCAACAAGACGCAGGCGGGGTGCAGACAGAGACACGCGCCACCCCCTCCCAGTGTCCCGGGCTGCCCCCAGCCGCTGCCTCCCGAGTCCCTCTGAGACGGTGGGCCGCTTGGGTAGGATAGGGGGAGGCCTCAGGGCGGGCGCTGCCCAGCCCAAGTCCTTCCGAGATGATCTGGGAGTCCCAGAAGCCCTCAACACCTCCCTCTCCGCGAGGGGCCGCAAGGCTCCGGACGGGGTGGGGTGGAAACCTCACTCCTTGCTCGGTCCCCCCACCCACCCGAGCTCCTCATCCCCGACCGAGAGCGCCTACTCACTCCATTTCCCCAGCGGAGGTCCGAGTGGGTCCGTGATGCTGAGAGGGGCGAACGCGGGTGGGTACGCAGGGGCGGGGAGGGAGGGTGGGGGTGGGGGGGCTGGCTAAGGCCTAGAGACCCGGGATGCGCGGCGCGGGGGCGTAGGCACCGGCTCGGGCATCGCCCCGCGCGCGGCTGTTTATTGTCCGGGCGGCGGCGGGCGCGGGGGGTGGGCTGAGTGCGCGCGTCGCCGCCGCCGCCAAAGCGTTTCTCTGTCTCTCCCCTCCCGCTCGGTCCCCTCCCACCTCCCAGCGCAGCGGTTCGCGCTGCGCCTCCTGCCGGCCGCAGCGGCTGCCGCAGCGTCCCCATCCCCGCGCGCGGCCCTTGCCGGCAACCTCCGCTAAGTCCTAGGCCTGGCCTGTAACCTTGGAGCCGTGCCCGGTTCCCCGCCCTGAGTCATTCATCCCAGGTCCGAGAGGCCTGATGCTGGCGGCCAGGGTTGGTCTGCGCACTGGCCCTAGCAGTGACCTCCCAAAATCCGCCCCCCTCTCTGGTTCCTGGTCTGGAGGGTAAGCGGGTGGAGGGCCGGTGAGGCGACAGGGACGAGGGACGATGGGACCCCAGGGGAGGTCCGGGAGGCCGCTCCGAGGAGCCGACTTCGCTGCAGCCTGGAGGTCTGAAAGAGAGCGTTCGGGTGGAGGGCACTGCAAGTGCCAAGGCGCGGCAGTGGGACCCAGCCAGGCCCGTTTGAAGAGAAATGATAATACAGCAATTCCTGACGTTTCTGGGCACTTGCTGGGTGCTGGTCCTGGTCCTAGAGCCGGAGGTAGTTTAATGATTTCAATCTGTCTCAGCTCCCACAGCACACACTGCAGGCCCCTGTGGCCAGAGTGAGTGAGGTGGGTAGAGGAGGGTAGAGGAGAGCTCAGGCTTGTCCTGAGGGCACTGGGGAGCCAAGGAAGAGTTTAGAGCAGGAGAGGGACCAACCTAGTTTATTTATTTATTTTTAAAGAAATATATATATATATATTATTTATTTATTTACTTTTAGAGGGAGGGGAAGGGTGGGGAGAAAGAGAGGGAGAGAAGCATCCACCAGTTGCCTCTCACTAACCCCCAACTGGAGACCTGGCAGCATCCCAGGCATGTGCCCGCAACCTGGGAATCAACCGAGGACCCTTTGGTTCACAGGCCGGCATGCAATCCGCTGAGCCACACCAGCCAAGGCCAATTTATTTTCGTTAAGGACCCCTTGGCTGACAGGAGGGAAGTGGATTAACAATGATAAAGCAGAAAGGCTTGGAGGCCTGAAAGAGGCGGGACTGGGCTCTCCAAAACACGCCGCTGAGGCTGGATAAGGTGGAGGGGCAGGTGGATTGTGTGTGGATCTTGAAGGAAGAACCGATGGGAGGTGGGATGACAGGCCTTGGGGTCCCCCCATTTGCAGATTGAACCACTGGAAAGACATACAGATGTGAGTGGGATTGAGGGGACAACAAAGGGTGACACTGAGCAGGCAGCTGGTCACCCGAGTTGAAGTTTACAGTGAGGCCTGGCCTACTCTAGGGGAAGTCCCGATAAGCTCATGTGGGGATCAGGCTCAGGCAGAAGACAGGCACCCAGTTCCCCTGCCTGCCCCTCGATTTCTCTCAGTCTATCTCGAGTGCTTCGTGCTGCGTGTGTCGTCATGTGGATCCCATGGACCAGGAGTCAGGCAGGACCTGTCACTGCCAACATGTAGACTGTGGCCCTACCTTCCCACGTTTTTGTAAGAATAGTGGTCCCCTGGCCCCAAACGCATTTACTGGGATCTGGCTGGGGGGAGGGGCAGGACAGGGAGAGTCTTCTAAATGCCTTTATTTTCTTGTAAGTAAAATCATTCTACTGAGCATGTGCTTAATAAATGTGTGTGTGTGTGTGTGTGTGCAAAGGAAAATAACTTTGGATGTGTTCTCAGGAAAGATGCATCAGGATCCACCCCAAAGGGGCAGGGACACTGCTACCTCTTTCTTTATAGGCCTTTTCATTTCCCCTTTTTTCAGTGAATGTGCATTCATTTGGCATGCAAACAATGAGAAAAATTAGCAGATTTAGAAAAGAAAAGAGAACCCAAGAAACATCAGGGGCCCTGAACTTGAGTTCCAGCTCAGAGCCACGTGTGCTGTGTGACCCTGGGTCTGTTTCTTAACCTGTCTGAGCCTCACCTCCTCATCTCCAAGGGCAGCTGGAAGAGGTAACAGAGTGAATACCCAGGAAAGGTTTGGGACAGGGCCCAGCACACAGGAGCTCAGGGTGTGACAAACTCTTTCTGTAAAGGGCCAGATAGTAAATATTTTCAGCATTGCAGCCCTTGGTCTTCCATTGCAACATGAAAGCAGCCAGGGGCAATATGTACACATATGGCTGAGCAAAAGGGAGCTGTGTCCGCTCAGTCCAAAAAGATTTATTGAGCACCTACTGTGTACCTGGCGGTGTTAGGTGCCAGGGATGCAGAAGCCTTGTGCTCGGAGAAATGACATTTTTGTCTACTAAGTGAATGATTCAAGGTTTGAGGGATGCTGGGTGCATTTTGTTCAAAAATAGGAGTAAGAGTGCTCACTTCTGCAGCACATATACTAAAATTGGAATGACACAGAGAAGATCAGCATGGCTCCTGTGAGAGGATGACATGCAAATTCATGAAGCGTTAAAAAAAAAAAGAAAATAGGAGGAAGAGGAGGAGTGTATATCAACTGCTGGGACCACCCCCCCTTCCCACAAACCGTTCTCCAGTGTCGCTAGCCCAACCTTCCTGGGCTCCCATCTCAGACCAAAAGCCAAATTCCTTGAAGTTCTCAAGTGGCTGCCTGGGGACTCCAGGTCCCCAACATCCACACCCCAGACGCAGGCATGCATGTAGTCACTTGCAGGGGATTGGCCGGAGGTGGGCAACATCTGAGCTGGGGAAGTGAGGCCAGGCCCAGAAAGGGGGGGGAGAGGCATCCCTGGTGGGAGGGGCAGACCTCAAAAAGGCATGGAGGCAACCAGTAGATGTTTTTCTCACGCATCAATGTGTCTCTTCCTCTTTCTCCCTGACCTTCTCTCTAAAAAATAAATAAAATCTTAAAAAAGAAAAGGCACGGCGGGGGAACTAGACAGGTTATGTCGTGAACTAAAGCAGTGGTCTGGGGTAGACCTTGCACCCTTTCACCCTCCAGAGAGGCGTCCACCTCACCCACTCCCTCCTCTTCTCCGCTCAGGGTGCTGTAGCTCCTATCCGTGTGGGGCCCCGCCGCCTCCCTAGACCACTTGCAACCGCGGTTTCTATGATGACTCCCCTTTCTCTTTCACTTCCTTGGCCTCCTCTGCCTATCTAGAATGTCACCATCCCCAGCACCCCTGCCCCTGCCCTGAGCACACCTCACAGCTGTGGCTGCCCCAAGACATCCTCTGGGGCCCTTGGACTCCAGGGGAGTGGACCCCAAAAGCCCACTCCTCTTCTGTCTCCGAGTCAGAGACCCCTTTACCTCCCCCCAGCCCTGACTCCAGCCCATGCCTTGTGTCTCCCATTCCAAAGGGGCCAAGAAAGGTTAAACTGGACATGAAAGGGACTGTATCGCAGAAGGAAGGGGCTCTGGAGCTTCCCCTCCCCCAGCTTCATAACTCCAAACCTCAGGCCCAGACCAGGTGGGGCCCTTCACAGAGCAGCATGCCAGAGCCCTGACCCCTGCTCTCCTCCTGGTCTGCTCCATGGCCCTGGGAGCCCTGGACTTAACAGGCAAGGGGGATGGGGACCCGATGGGGCTACCCAGTTCTGGCCAGTGCAGCACTGGTCCATCTGCAGATCAGCAGAATGTAAATTCACTTCCCAGGGAGACTGTGTCTCTGCATATGAGAGTTCTCAGAAAAGGAATTAATATGACCATGAGTTAATCTCCTCAATATACAAAGAGTTCCAACAAATCAATAAAGAAAGTGTTTAGTAAGCGGAGCTATCATTATCATCATCATCATCAACACCGTTGTTGTTGAGTCTCCTCTGACTGAGAAAACCACCCAATCCTCCATGAAAAGATCCGTCAAGGACTATAGTCCAGGAGTTCTGGGTTCGAGACCCTCTTCCATGTAGCCCCATCTTCAACCCAGTTTTGGGTTGGACAATACTGGCCCTTACTCAGGGCTTCTGGGAGCTGGTTAGTTGGGGCTATAAAGGACAGTTGCCTGTTTCATAACTGCTTATCAGATGGGAAGGACGTGGGCCCACCTGTGGGTGAAACTGGCCCCTTAGAGACGGTAGCTGTCCTGGGGCTACAACCCTGGTCCCCTCCCGCCCTCTCTGTGCAGCCTTGGCCAAGGCACTTAACCTCTCTCTGCCTCAGGTTCCCCACCAGTGACGTGAGGATAGAAATAATACATCCTTGGGTCATTCCAGGATTAAATGATTTCCACATATCTGAAGCTTCAGTTGATATTTATATATTTTTAAATCGCTCAAGGATATGGTGTTTTTTAAATTGATTTTTAGAGAGAGAAGAAGGGAAAGGGGCAGAGGGGATATCTATGTGGATAGAAACATCAATTGGCTGCCTCCTGCACGTACCCTGATCAAACCCAAAACCTCAGTATATGCCCTGACCAGGAATCAAACCCACCAACTTTTTGTGAATGGGACGACACTTCCAACTGAGCCACACATCCACGGTGTCAGCTGATATTTATGTCAACCCCCCAAGGGTGTGTGGCTGGAAGAACTGACCAAGATGCTGGGTAAATTGGGGGACAGAGAAGGTAAGTGACCCCTGGGGGCACAGGGACTGGCAGAGGCAGGGTTTGCCTGGGCAGGCAGCCCCCTGCTCCCCTCCACTGCCCTGTTTCCTCCCCTGTAATTAGGATCAACAACCTCAAGGCGGTTGAATCATCGGTGTCCCAGAACCACCAGTTCAGATCTGGTCGTTGCTGATGGGGCCTGGCAGGGCCTCCAACCACAGACCACAGCTGGGTTCCCCCTTTCCGGGCCGTTGAATGAGGGTAAGGGCCTCAGTCCTCAAAGCTCTCGAGGGAGACTCCAGCCATGGGCCCTGGGGTGACGGGCTGGGACCACCTGTTGCTGACCGTGGCTACTGCCCTGATGCTGTCCATGAGGCTTCCAGGTGAGGACCCCGGGGGCCCCTGTGCAGGGGGCCCCGCCCACGAACTCTCCAGGTGCCCCAAGGCTACAACTTGATGCAGCTACACAGCCCCAGCTGGTCACCCTCTGGGGCCTCGGCAGGGCGTGGGGCAGGATGCCCAGCTGGGGTCTGGACAGGCCGGAGCCCAGGTTTTCTGGCTTTCGGTCCTCCTCCCAGCACACCGGAGGGCCTTCTATGGTTCCTCGTCACTCTAGTCCTTCTGCATCTCTTTCCAGCTCTGTCTCTGCCCATTTCTGGCTCTTTCTCCCCCAAGTCAACCCCCATCCCATCCAGTGCCTGAGTTGCCCCCATTAGTCCCTTTTCCTGCCATACCCCACATGCTCCCCCTTTCCTCTGCAGGCTCCTGGGGGGCCAGGATCATTGGGGGCCGAGAGGTGATCCCACACTCCCGTCCCTACATGGCATCGGTGAGCTTCAATGGCCAGCATCACTGCGGGGGCTTCCTGCTCCGCGCCCGATGGGTGGTCTCAGCGGCCCACTGCTTCAGCAACATGTGAGCCCACCCTGGGACCCCTCCCCCTGCCTGTTGCCACTTGGGGTCCCAGATGCTCTGGATGCAGGGTGGGGGGTGGTGGCGTGAGGGGTCCCCAGTGTGGGCATTGCTACATTCCAGGCAGGGGCAGAATTCAAATGGCCAGATCCCACCCCTCCCCTTCAGGACTCTTGAAGGAGGAGGCCGATCAGTGGGGTTAGCTTTATGGGACAACAAGGCGGGGGGGGGGGGTGGAGTCCACAAGTGGAGTACTGAAGGAGCTTTCATCGCTGTGCTTGTTCTAAGTATATGTTTTTAGGAGTTTATTTATTTATTTTTAGAGAAAGGGGAAGAGAGGGAGAGAGAGGGAGAAAAACATTGATGTGCCAGAGAAACATCCTTTGGCTGCCTCTCACACGCCCCGACCTGGGACCTGGCCCGCAGCATGGGCATGCGCCCTGACGGGGAACTGAACCAGTGGCCTTTCAGTTTGTGGTATATTGCTCATCCCACTGAGTCATACCAGTCAGGGCAAAGTATACTTTTATAATAATCATTAACCATATTAAGATTATTGGAAGAAGAAAATTTTCTCCACTTTTCTAGGTTCTTCCAGATGGTCTAATAGTTAAATCTACATGAGACAGATTAACAAGAGAAAATAACCACATTTAATATATATGTACACATGGGAGCCCCACTCCCATGAGGGGGTCACAGGCCCCACACCCATGAGAGGTTCAGGAACAGAAAGGAGGGATGAGTTACATTCGTCACCTGAGCTAGTGATGATGCCAGGTGCCTGAAGCATCAGCGGGAGAAGGGTCTTCAAGCCTTATGAAGAGTGGGTGCCCAGGAGAGGGCTGCCCTGCTCTCTAGATGGACCACAAAAGTTACCTTTGGCGATAACTCTCACGATGGATGAGGCTCCCATTTAGACCCATGCAGGTGATTAAGTGAGAGGTAGCATTTTCTTGGGAGTCTGCAAGGCCTTCAGTTCAAAATAATCCACATGCCAAGGGGATACATCTTGGGGAGGCCTGTTCTGAACCCCTGCAGAGGTAATAATATAATTGAGATGGGAATTATAATAAATATTCTATTCATTCTAAGTATAGTTTGTAATAGTTATTAGAATTCATATTGCAACAATTAGAGTTAATGCTGTAATTGCGGTGGGAACGATAACAAACATCATTATCGCAGGGCTGGCATCCGGATTAAACAGACTGCTGTGCACTGGCTTTGCAGATGGAGCTGCCAAAGCCCGTGACCGGCAGCCCTCTCCCAGTGTCGCTCACTCCACCCCTCCCTCCCGCAGAGACCTCCGAACGGTTCTGGTGGTGCTGGGGGCCCACGCCCTTCGCACCTCAGAGCCCACTCAGCAGGTGTTTGGCATCTCGGCTGTCATCGGGCACCCTGACTTCCACCCCACAACCCACGCCAATGACATCTGTCTGCTGCAGGTGAGCTTCGTGGTAGAGTGGGGGGACACACTGGACGTAGGTCTGGCCTGTCCCGGCCACCCCTCTGATATGTTTTAGAAGTAGCTGAAGGATCCCGAAACACCTGAGTCAGGTGAAGTCTTTGCTCAAATGCCGCCTTCGCAGGAGGCGTCCCTGGAGGACCACCCCGTCCTGCGCCTGGTCCCGTCCTGTGCCCTGGTCCCGTCCTGCGCCCTGGTCCCATCCAGCCCTCCCTTCTCTCTGTTCCCGCTCTTTGGTCCGGCGTGGCTGTCATCTGCTCGCAGCAGCTGCACATTCGCTGCTTCACCATTCCTCACTGTTTCCTCTCGACCTGAGGGCAGGAATTTTTACCTCGTTTGTGATCATTTGTGGCACATAGCTGGCACTCAATGTCCAGGCTAAAAGGGGGACACGTGAGGGGCCAGGGCCATGAAAAACTCTGCCACTCGGCCCTGCTTGGGGCTTTCTAGCCAGGGGGTGGCTCTTCCCAGAAACATGAGTTTCCCTCTGCCCTGCTATGAGGGGTGCCCTTTCAGACCACCCCTTCCTGCAGCTCCCACCCAGGCACCCCAAATTCAACTCCAGTCATCCCCAAGGCCTCAGTTTTAAAGGGAGAATGTCCCAAACTTGCTCTCCAAATGTGGTAAAAAATGAAAGTGGAGAGATACTCAACACGCCTGAATAGGTCCCTGGGAACAGTAGGGCCAGGGAGCAGAAAGGTCTGGAACTTGCTGCTCTGACTTACCCATCATCCCATTGTGTGGGTGGGGACACTGAGGTTGGGGGTGGTCAGGATTGTGCCCAAGGCCAGGGAATACCAAAACCAGGGGTCCGAGTCATTCATTCCATAACTGTTGACTGAGTGCCAGCTGTGTGCCAGTCAGCAGGGACACAGCCATAAGCGAACCCTAGGACTGATCCTCTTAGAGCTGCCAGTCTAAGAGGGTGGCAGCTGGGTAAACTGGCTTTGACCAGGGCACATGGGGGCCCAGAGGAAGTGCCTGCCCTTGCCCGGGAATCTTGGAAGGCTCCCTGGAGGAGATAATATCTAAGTTGAAACTTGAAAGCTAGATAGGAAAGGTGGTCCAGGTGGGGGGTACAGCGTGAGCAAAAGTGTGGAGCTGGGCCCAGGGCATGGCATTGAATTCATTCTGGCTGGAGGGGAGGGCTGAATGGGGGCAGAGGAGAAGAGGTTCTATCTTGAGGGCAATGGGGAGCCATGGGAGGGCTTAGAGCAGGGAAAGAGATGATAATTAGAAAGACCCTTTGGGCAGCTGAGGAGGTGAGGGGAAGCCACAGTCCTGGGCCGAGTGGGTTAGGCCTGATGGCAAAAGCAGCAGACCTGCCAACAGCTGTTGCTTTCTCTGTATAAGGCCAGGAGATCAGGTGTCACAGATGGGTAAACTGAGGCAGGAGCAGCGGTGACAGTTTAGGTGGTCCAAAACTCAGTGTTCTCTCCGCAGCTGAACAGCTCTGCCATCCTGGGTCCTGCAGTGGGACTGCTGGAGCTGCCTAAAAGAGATGCCAGGCCACTCAAGGCCGGGGCGTGGTGCCGGGTGGCTGGCTGGGGCTCTGTGTCCAACTTTGAAGAGCTGCCACCTGGGCTGATGGAAGCCAAGGTCCGCGTGCTAGACTTGGACATCTGCAACAGCTCCTGGAGTGGCCACCTGAGCCCTGCTATGGTCTGCACTCACAGTGGGGACCGACGGCGACGAGGCTTCTGCTCAGTAAGATACTCATTCTCCGTCCCTCCCACTGACCACATGGGAAACCAAGGCCCACAGAGAATGGTCAGAGCTGGGCAGAGACTTGGGAACTCAATCCCAACTTACCTTTTCGCAGATGGGCCTCACCTGGGGCCCAGGGTCACAGGGCTCCCATGTATGGCAGGTTGTGCAGCGCACAGCTACATCTTTGTGTGTTTGTAAGCAGTGGCCAGTAGGGGGCAGTAGCAGATCTCAAGGAAGGAGCTCCTGCTCCTAATGCCCTGTTTGGACAAATGGCAACCTTAGCTCTTTCTGGAGCCCAACTGGTCAAAATCCAGACTATGCCACTTTCCAGATGTATGGCCTTGGGAAAGTCACTTCACTTCTCTGGACCTCACTCCGTCTTTCTCCATGTATAGAACTGCCACCTCATAGGGGCAGAGCTACCAGTAATTCCAGATAACAATTTCGGTGAGACCAGGAGGGGAGGGGGCAGGAATTTTAGGGTGAGTATTAAGGAAGGCTTCTCTGAGGATAGCACCTTTGAGCTGAGTCATAAAGGAACCTTAAGATCTAAGGGAGGGCATGCCGGGTAGAGAGACAATCATAGGCTTGCCTTGCACAGCCAAGCAGGTCTATACTGCACAAACAGCTGCAGACTTCTCTGTTTATACAAGCAGTGTCCAGCAGGGGGCAGTAACAAGCAAAAGTTTGCAGGGGTGTCCAACCAACCTTTTGGTGTCTCTAGGCCACACTGGAAGAAGAGCTGTCTTGGGCTACACATTAAATACAAGATGACATATAATCACAAAAATTCTCATAATGTTTTTGAGTAAATTTACAATTTTGTGTTGGGACACATTCATAGCCATCCTGAGCTGCATGAGGCCCGTGGGCGACAGGCTGGACTCCTCTGGAGGAGGCTGGATGGAGCTTGGCTTGCTCCAGGAACAGCCAGGAAGGCTGGTGAATGAGGGAGAGAAGGGCAAACAGGTGGATGGGATCTACAGGGTCTTGAAAGCTGAGGTGAGGGGTGTAGCCTCTGCTGTAAGGGCACTAGGTGTCATGGAAAGGGTCCTGGTGGGCTTTACCTGAAGAAGCCCCTTCAGGCAAAGTGAGGCTGAGAACCCCTGGCCTCGTTTTTCCCTTCATTCCAGGCAGACTCTGGGGGGCCCCTGGTGTGCAGGAACCGGGCCCACGGCCTCGTTTCCTTCTCCGGCGTCTGGTGTGGCGACCCCAAGACTCCAGATGTGTACACACAGGTGTCCACTTTCGTGCCCTGGATCTGGGACGTGGTTCGGCGACACCTGCATGACCCTCAGCCCAGCCCCCCACCCAGGACCACTGGGGCCCCCACGGGGGCTGCCCAAACCACAGCAGCACTGGGTACACAAATGAGATGACACCCAGTGCAAACAGCTCCAGCCTGGGAAACTCCGTGGCTGGGGGAGGGGGTCCATGGGGCCCCAAACCCAGGAAGCTTTGGTTGGGGTGTGGGCATCAGTTACAAACAAAAAGGGCAAAATTAACTGAATAAATGTTAACTAACTAACTAACCAGCCACTATGGTCCACCCACATTCCTTGAGCTTTTTCTTGGCCTCAAAGTGGCTGGGAGTTCAGCTGAGTCGCTCCCGCCCTGGACCACTTGCTTGGCCTTCTTTCTCTCCCACCTACCCCCTCTTCCCCCCATCTCAGCCCTCTCTCCAGCTGCCGCCCACTGCTGAGATGGGCACTGAGGCCTGGAGATGGACAGTGGCTGCCCCAAGAACATACTCACATGACTCCCCTGGATGCTTTCAGAGGTCCCCACTTACCACCCTAATAACAACCCAGGCTCCAGGCTCCCAAAGTGGGTGGCCCAGAGGATCAGAGAGAGTGGAGCAAACCAGAAATTGACCACAAAGTGGCTTTTTACAATCTTTATTTCTTTGGTTAGGCAGGACCCGAGGGCAGGGGAAATTGCCTTATTAGGGGACTCGAGCAAATTCACCTACTCAAGGGTACTTTTCTGGGTGTCACAGGTAAGGCACTTCCTGGAGACTGGGAGAGGGTGTGCACACTGCCCCCTGCGCTCCTTGCCCCATATCTGGTCTGAGCCTCTGGTCTACATGAAGGCACAGAGAGGTGTCAAAGTGACAGCCCAGATAGAATGGAGGGAATTGGCTCTAGGCTAGCATTGGGCATGGTCAAGACCCCTGAGCCTCACTGGTGGGCAAAGAGGGGGCAACTAGGTACTCGGCCTAGAAGCCTGGCAAGGGTGAGCCTCATGGGGACCAAAGGCTTCAGGGTCTAGACCTCACCTGTGGACAGGTCAGCAGTCACTAGAGGTGCTTCTCAGACAGGTAGCTCCAGGAGGCCAGGTGGGCAGTGGACCCTAGCAGGTATAGCCCAACTGGGCCAGTGGGTAAGCAGGGTCTCCTGGGCCCCACCAGGTCCCGCCCTCTTCTGAGCTGATGCTGAGCTGAGGCCTATGTCAGGAGGCAGACAGTGCCTCCCTCATCAGGGGACAAGCTGGACTTTTCTCAGTGGCCTTCACAGGTACATGGAGGCAGTAGGGAAGGGAAGCCCTGGATTCAGGGGCTGGTAAGGGACAGAGGTTGCGTCTGTGGTCTGCCAGGGGACCTGGATCATGTTTCAAGGCTCATGTATACACACATCCCCAGGCTGTGGACACCCTCCTCACCCCTTGGTCCCTGTTCTAGAAGGCCAGGGTGACTTTTCATTAATTGCTGGCAGAGATTCCCCAGACCTCCTGGTGGCAGCCATAATTACTAGTAATCCTGGAGGAAGCATAAGCAGGGTCCCCTTGAGTGTCTGGGGCAGAGGCCCCACCTACCAGCACTGCTCCCAGGCCTTCTGCCCCCAATCCCTCCGAGGTACCAGTTTGGGGAAGGGGTCCAGGGCTCCCCCAAGTGGTCCAGTCCTGGGGCTGGGGAGTGTCCATGGGACATAAATTAGGCTTTGCTCTGGCAATAAATAAAATGGCGGAGGCCTTGAACGCCAGGCCCAGGCCATCCTTAAGTCACACGAAGTTCTCCTCCTCTTCCTTCGACTCAGCATCTGAAGGCTCAGGGGTGCCTGCTGAGCAGGAAGGAAGAACAGAGAAATTGGGGGTACGGAATGGGGCTGGGTACAACCCACCACTGCTCCTTGCCCCGCCCCGCACCTGCGCAGCTGCCCGGGTGGCGCACGCCAATGGAGCGGCCCAGGAAGCAGGTGGCCTGGCGGAGATGGCACGACGACATGTAGGTGATGTTGTTGTTGCCGCAAAGCTCATGGCCGGGGCCGGAGGGCGCAGGGCAGGGCGCTGCACGGCACATCACGCAGTGGGCGCTGCCTGTCTGGTCCACCACGCACGTCTGAGGCCTCTGGCATACCACGTGCGCGCACGACTCTGCGGGCGGGGCGCCAGGTTGGGGTAGGAGCTCCTTCGAGACCGCGAACCTCGCCCACAACAGAGTCCCGCCTCAGGTCCCGCCTCCTCTAGGTGTGACAGATGTTACCCCCCTTCTACGAGACCCCTCCCACAGCCCAAGTCCACCCTGAACCCCGGCCCCTCTGAGTCACACACCCATACCTCACACCCCATGTGAGCCCCAGAACCCCACTTTCCAAACTTCCACCCTAGTCTTCCTTCCATAAAAAACCAATTCACTGACGCTCTCTCAGGACAATAAAGACTCCCTTTATTAGACCCCGACCACAACCTCGCCATCTAGGCCCCGCCTACCATAAACCCTGCCTCAACCTCCAAGACCTTTACTTACGCTACTAAGCACTTTGCCCTGGAGGCCCTGCAGGCCCCACCCTCAGCACTGCAGCGTCAGTACTGACGCGCAGGTCTGGGGGCCCGCCCTCTGACTGGCCCGGCCCCCACGTACTGCGACAGCGGCCCATATACATGACACGCAGGTCCGGGTGGCCGCGGCAGCGCGCCACACGCAGCTCACACTCGTCACGGTAGGTGGCGCCGTCCGAGCCACAGACCTGCAGGCGCGCCGGGAGCTCCACGCAGTCGTGCACGCACTCGCAGTGCGGGCGGCCCCCCAGCATGCGGCACGCCTTGCCGGGACCGCACTCCACGCCCTCGCACGAATCTGCGGACACAGGATACGCGCCAGTGGGCTGGGGAGCGTGGCAGTGACCAGAGGTCTTCTGAGCCCACGGCTCCTCGCTCCCTTTTCTGAGGGATAGGGGCCGGGCAGGAGTTAGGGGCTGTCCCGAGTCAGGGCGTAGGAGGAGGGTACTGGCTCGGGGTCTGGGTGAGATGGCTGTTGTGGGATTTAGTCATTACCCTGCTGGACGCCTGGGGCAGGGGGCTGTGTCTGGAGGCGGGGCTCAGTGTGGGCGGGAAGGGCGTCTCTGCTATGAATCTTGGGGACAGAAACAGGCTGCCAGCCCCCTCGTCCCACTCTCATTGACGTCTGTTCCCTGACTCGCGTTTCTGGGCAGGCCGATGGGGGCCTGGGCTGCGTCTGCCCCGGGGTAGGGTGGGGGGCTCCACCCCACTCAGGCGCGGGTCTAGGAAGGACTGGCAGTGTCTGTTCCCGGTGTCTGCCAGGACCTCCCCGGAGGAGGGGACAGGGAGGGCGGAGTATCGGCGCCTGGCCCGAGGCTTATTTCCTGGGGAGCGGGCCTCCCACAGCCCAAGCCATCTGAACTAAGGCTTATCCACCCCCTTGAAGCCCCATTTCTCATGTAGGGAAACAGGTTCGACCAGAAGAAGTCTACCACTCAGGACCCTGGACCTTCGGAAATGCAAATCGGACACCACTAATGCCTGCTCCTGTCCTCAGGCCTTCCCAGGCTCATTGCAGGTTGGAACCACCCTACAAGGTCATGCTGTTTCGTGACATTTTATGAAAAGGGGAAACCGAGGCCCCTACACCCCTGACTGGAGGGGATGAGCCAGGAGAACCTCAGCATAACTCCAGGCCATGTCCTAGATGGACCTCCCTCCCTCCACCCAGTTCTGTTGCTTCTGGGTCTGGAAGACAGACTCTGAGTCTTTTACACTTTAGTCTCAGCTTCCTTGTGTATAAAGTGGGGTTGATGGGGGAACCCACCTTACAGAGTGAGCATAAAATAAGTGGCTATTCCTAAGAGAATGGCAGGAGAGGGGGAGGCCATGCTGGTTGCCCCTGCCAGGGCATGTGGGCTGCACCTGGGCGCCTCCCGCCCACACGCACATCTGGAAATGCTCTGCCTGTGTGGCTTCATGCAAGAGGGAACAGAAGGGGGGGGGGGAGGGCTGAGTTCCCATCCCCAAGGCCAGAATGGGGAGGGGGGTGTCCTGGACAATCTCATGCCCAGGACAGGCACTTTTTGAAATCTGCCCTCCTCCCAGAAGTCAAGGGGGGTTCTAGAATGAGCCAGGGTATGTGGCAGTGAGTTTAGGACCACCCAGCCAGGCTGATCTGGGATTAATCACATCCCAGCAGCCGGCTGGTCTCAGCTTGGCCTTCAGGTCTGTGGCCCTCAGCTCCAGCCTCCTCCCTGCTCCTCTGCCCCAACCCCACCCATGACCACCTTATCCTAGGCCTCTGCTGATGCTCCCCCCCCCCATTCTTTCTCCATCTGGTAAACTTCTAATTATCCCCCAACACTCTGCCTCTAATGCTTACCTCCTTCAAGTCAGGTCCCCTTTTGGTCCCTGCAGGTTCATCCCTGACCACAGAGGCCTGGGAGGGCCCCCGACCCCTTCTACAGGGCAGACAATATGTCTTATTCATTCAGCCCCTGAAGAGCTCCTTGTCTGCTGGAGGAGGCAGCATTTCTCAGAACGTGGTTCAGAAGGCACATGCTTATTAAACAAGCAGCTAGGGGCTCACCACAGTTCCTTGGAAATTGTGGGGTTAAGGGCAGATCAGTACAGTTGAGAATATTGAGTGTGGGGTCACAAACCAGAATGGCCAGTCAGGAAAATCCATTTTTCCAGGAGTTAGGTGTGAGCTGAGTGTACTTCCACCACGTGGGGAGCAGGTGGGGTGCACGCCACCAAGGCCATCCTGGCAGAGGGCTTGGCATAAGCAACTGCCTAGAGGCTGGAAACCAAGCTGGGGAGTCAGAGCTTCTTCCCAGATCTTCAACAGAGGGAAGCTGGGATCCCCTTCCCAACTGCTCCTCCCAGTGGCCTTGACTTCCTCCTGCATACCCCTGAGACAGGGAGCTCACTTTCAGCTGGTTCACTTTCAACCATAGTGACCCTGGCCTGTAGCTGATGCATGGGGTCTCACCTTTACCTTTGCAGGGGAGGCAGTGGACCAGGCCCAAGAAGCCCAGGAGGCTGATCTTGTTCCCTGGGTAGGTGAAGTTGGACCAGGCAGTATCGATGCTGCCGGAGGCACAGCACTCAGCCTGGCTCACGTCGGTCTTCAGCACCAGGCTGCAGATGGCCTCTCTGCCCTGCTGGAGCCAGCAGACACCACCTGTGGACCCGGGAGGGGCGGGGACAGTTCCTATGGGATTAGAGTTTCTTTCCTGTACCACTCCTGACACCCAGGCCTTGACCTTGCACCCAGCTTCCAACCCCAGGGAAGGGGAAAGGAGGGGCTCTGGATCCTTCTGAAATTCTCCTCTCTGAGCTCCACCCTCTACACTGCTCCACCACCAACCTCTAACCAACCCAAGAAGCTCTCCTCCCTCCCAGCTACCCCCCTCCCACCAAGCTCCCCTACCCACCCAGGCCCGGCATCCTGCTTAATCAGACAGACATCCAGGGCTGTATGTGTCAGGGTCAGTAGGCCTTGGAACTGCCTCTCTTGACTCTGTCCTCTGTCTAAACAGCATCCGAGGGCACACAGAACCCCCCTCTCCTGGCAGCACCCCCCCTCCCATTGCCTGGACTGCCTCTTACTCACTCCAACTTGGGAACATTCCCCTTGCATGAGCTCACTGTCTCCCTGGGGACACGGCCTTCGAGGAGGGGGCTCCACTCTCCCCTCCCTCTGTGCAGGGCTGGGTGGGGCTGCCGGGTTGGGGGGGCAGATGACCTCAGTTTCTTCACCCTTAAATGGGGGTAGGCATGGCCAAGGCCCCCATCCCAGAGAGCTCACTGTTCACAGGTGCTATACTGAGCGCGGCCCAGGGACCAACTCTGGGAACTCGGCACCTCGGTACTCATAAAGGGGAAACTGATGCCAAGAGTGGGGATGTTACTTGCCTGGCTTCTCCCAGTAAGTGGCAGGCATGACATTCTAACAATCCATCTGCCTAAGCCAGACCCAGGAAAGGCCTGGGGCCCTTGCTGGAGGTCCTGGGTCTGGCCACCCAGCTCTGCCTCTCTGTGGTGTCCGGACCCAGGTGGTCCAGATTCCAATTCTGCCTCTGCTACTTACGAACTGTGTGACTCCATGTGGAAAACAGGCATAAGAGGAGTTCCCATACCATTGGGCTGTTACATGGATTTAGGGAGGTTAAGAGGTAGACACTAAGCGTTCAGTAAATGTCAGTCATTGTGACTACTCTTGGTCACAGTGGTGGAGGGAGTCACATCTGTTCTGCTGACCTCCTGGTTACCCTCCTTCCGGCCCTGTGGGCCTAGGGGAACCCCAGCCCTCCAGGGTTCAATCTTCAGCTGCCTCTTGTCACCGCCCTCCACCCCCAGCTGCCACCTACCCTGCGACCCCCAGCATTCCCTCAGCCCGCATTCCAGGCAGACCCACGTGGGTGGCCCACCACACCCGCCCCTTCCGGCCACCCCACTCACCGGGCACAGGGTCCCCCGAGCCCACGGAGCCCACGAAGCCCACAGCCCAAGCCAGGGCCCCCCAAGGCAGTGGCCACAGTGGCCCGGGCGCCCCGGGATGCATGGCGAGCGCAGAGACGGCAGCGGTGGCCCCTGCGTCGGGCGCCGAGGGCGGGCGTCTGGGAGGGCGGCGATACCGACTTCCCAGTGCTCCTCGGTCCGCGCTCCCTATAAAGGTCCCGCTGGCTGCGGGCGGGGCGGGGCCGGACTGGGGCGGGGCGCGTGAATGGCGGGGCACGAGGCTGAGTCGTACGCGATGTGTGAAGGGGCTGGGCTTGGCCACCCGGGTGGCAGCTGGTGGGTGGTGAGCCCGACCTGGGAGCCCGAGAATTTATGTGGGAAGGTGTGGCTGTTGCCGATGCAAGGGGTCAAACTGTGACCTGGGGTGTTAGTTCCAGGTGTTGCCTTGTTTGGGGGTCTTCAGCTGTAAGGCTGTGGCTGAGCTAACTGGTGACTCAGGAGGAGCATACACCGCGTCGTGGATTGCGTGTGATCCCTTGCATGGCCCACGTGTGATCCTCCCATTTCTATATGCCCCACATCTGGGGCCCTCAGCCCTAGACTGGCTGCGCACACCCCAGGCTGCCCACCTAAACCACCTGGCTGCGGGAGCTGGTGGGCACATCTGGGTGAGAGGAAGTGTGTGTGTGTGTGGGGGGGGCACAGGCAGAGACCCAGGGACACAAATGGTCCCAACAACATCACTGACTGCAGCAATCACACCCCAAGCCGTCCCAAGCGCCTGTCTGCTGCAGCCAGAGCTCTGCAGATGCTGTGCCAGGGCCACACCCGCACGAAGAACTTACTGTCTTGGGGGGATTCCTCCTCCCCGCCCAGGTTTAGCAGCCTGGAATCTCCGGTGTCCTGAAGTTTACGATGGCAACACCAGTGTGAACTTGGGAAGTGAGTCCGGGGCCCTTGGTGCAGGCAGACACTCTTGCTGTTTCAGAATCGATTCCTTCTACTTTGGGAGCCTTCCAAATTGTAAGAGCACTCTCCAACTGCTCATGGGTTCTGTGCAGCTCCTCTGTGTTTGTACTTCTAAGAAATCATTAATGATCATCTTGTGGCAGGGGCCATTAGCGGGAGGGGGGGAGTGCTAGGGTTCCAGGGTGACCAAGGTGGACCCAGTCTTGTCATCAGGGAGCTCATGGTTTGTAGGGACCGTAGCCAATAAAATAAATTAGCATTATGACTTCAGAGAGTGGTAAATGCTTTCAGGAAAATTAAAAAGAGGGAGAGCAATGGGATAGCTCCCACAGGGTGCCTCTGCCTCTTCATCCCCCATTTCTGCATCAGCCCCCTCCCCAGGTGTGGAAATTTAGGGTCCCTGTGGCCAGCCCCACAGCACAGACCTGCTCTACATGCACGAGAACTTCTGCCATCAGATGCCACGCCCAGAACCCTTCCTCTACCTGAGTGTCCCAGCCTGAGCCATGTCCCCCAGCCAGTAGCCAAGGGCCATGTCACTGCCTGGAGGCATTGAGGGAAGATGCCAGGCTGTCTCACTGTGGCCTTAGCCTCTGACAGTCTGAGGGGATTCTCCCTTGCTTGGGGAATGGGTCAGTTATGGGACTCTGTGTTCTCACAAGGGTGTGAAGGGGCTGGACAGTGTGACCTTGGCCAAGACCTGACCTCAGACACCCTGGCCTGGGCTGTGCAAATCAAAAGATCATTGTAAGCCCATTGTGGGTTCCAAATGAAGACCAGCTGCCAGTGGTCTGCTCCCTAGTCTGGCGTATCTCCCCAACCCAGAGGCCATATGCTGGGTGACCTCAGGCAAGTCACCAGCCCTCCTCAGAGGAGCCCCTGCCTCCCCTTTTGAGTCTCTCCCATTTGTACCTTCCTCTTTACCCTGACCTGGCCTCAGCCTCACTCACACTGCAGCCCACTTTCCTATCCCAGCTGCCCCAGGTTCCTTCTCAGCTCGAACACCCACCATGACTCCCGAATAGCCCTTGGCTCCCCATCCCAGGCTTCTCTCTACCCCAGACCCCACAGGTGAACTGTACGTGGAGACAGTGATCAGAGCTGTGATGGAGAGTGCCCCGAAGCCCCACCTGACTCAGCCTGGGAGAGACTGAGCAAGACTCCTCAGAGAAACAGGACATTTAAGTGGAGACTTGGGCCCTGGTCAGTGTGGCTCAGTAGGTTAGGCATTATACTACAAAGTGAAAGGTGGTCGGTTCAACTGTCAGTCAGGGTGCATATCTGGGTGTGGGCCTGGTCCCTGGCTGGGGGCAAGTGAGGAACAGTAGACAGATGTTTCTTTCTCACACTGATGTTTCTCTCTCTCTCTCTTTCTCCCTTCCTTCCCTTTCCTCTAAATAAATAAATAAGTAAAATCTTTTTTAAAATCTTAAGTAAATAAAATCTTAAAAAAGAGTAAATTGAGACTTGGGAGATGGACTGAACCATGGGAAGGAGGGGGGTGGGAACAGAAGTGCTGTATTTGGTTGTTTGTACCAAGAGAAAGCCCAAATTTACCTGACACCTGTCCGATCCTAATCCCCGGACCCTGTAACTACGTCACCTTCAGTGGCAAATGGGGTTACGTTAAGCACTTTTGGATGGGGAGAAAATCCTGGATTACCCCCTGAGCCCAGGCCATCTTGGGATCCCGAAAAGTGGAAGCCCTCCCTGCTGTGGTCAGAGTGCTACACGAGGAGGACATGACCTGCCATTGCTGGCTGCGAAGATGGAGGAAGTGGCCAAGAGCCAAGGAATGTGGGCAGCCTGGAGAAGCTATAAAAGGCTGGGAACAGAGCCTCCCTTGGAGCCTCCTAAAAAGAATGCAGCTCTGCCTATACCTTGATTTTAGTTCTGCAAAACCCGGGTTGGACTTCTGACCTTCAGAAGAAAAAGATTGGGGGTATTTTATGCCACCAGGTTGGTCATGATTTATACAGCAGCAACAGGCCAATAGTGGGAGGGCCGTTTGGGTGGGTTCGGTATGCCACCAAGGTCCGTGCTAGGCTGGAAACAAAGAAGGGAGTGAATGAGGTGTGATGAGAGGTGGCAGTACAGAGACCCTGGGAACAGCGAGGCTGTGGAGTCTCTGAGGAGGTGACCCTGAGGCTGGAGGGAGGAGTGTGCAGTACAGGCTGTGCCACCTTGGCCAGATCACATGTGACCTCTGTGAGCCTCTGTTTTCTTATCTTTGAAATGGGCATGGATCCCAGTACTGCAGAGTGCAGGCAGGACACCAGGGACAGTGCCTGGCTCACAGTTGGGGTTATGACATGTGTGCATGGATTCTTATGGGTGATTTGGCTGGGGCAGGTGCCTGATGAGTCTTCTCTGCCCCTCACCATGATGCTGTGAGGAAGGCACCCAATTTACAGAGGAGCAATTAAGGCTGGAGGAGGGAAAGTGATTTCTAGAATCACCAAGTCCCACAGTGTTGGGATGGGAGTCAGTACCAGGTAAGCAAGATTCTAGGACCCATGTGCTGAGTCGTGGGGCAGGGCACTCAGGGCCCTTCTCTCTCTGAATTGAACAATAAGCAGTGGCCCCCCAAGTGGTAACTGTCATTGCCCTTATGGTCCCAGCACATCCCAGGCGGTGCAGAAGACCTGTACAAAGGTTGAGAGGCGCAGACAACTGGAGACGTATAGTCACAATAGCCATTTACAGAGTGGCTTCCCTGTGAGCCTCTGGGCACAGCTGAGAGACCCATCATACAAGTGGAAGACTGAGGCTCAGAGGACCATCTGTCCTTGACCTGCAGTACTCAAAGAGGAAGGCACAACCAAGTCTGAGGGGGAAGGCACGGCCCTGCCCTGGGTCTGAGGAGTGAGGCCCTGCCCTGTCCCGAGTAGTCTGGAAGAGTTGATAGGGTCTTTCCCTGGGGACTGTGGAGGGGCCAGGCCACACTCCACCTCCATTTTCAAAGCCTTTCCGAGGATATTTTTCTGGGAAACCATCACTAGATATCTATGTGTTGCCGTGTCCGGTGGTCAGAGAGCCTCCCAAGTGTATCCCAACAGGCTCGCCAATAAATCCCTGAGGGCCCCAGAACCTCAGGGCCACTGGGCCACAAGTATGGCCAGATTTAAGCCTCAGTCTTCTCATCTGTAAAGTGAGGTCATAACTGTCACACCTCATGGTGCTTGTGAGGAAATTCAACTTCAGGCCTGGCACCTCCCAAGCTCATTGTTTTATAACATACAAAACTGTGTGTTCTTGTTCCCACTGCATTGCCAGAGCCTTGCCTGTGTATGGCACACAGAAGGTGCTCATTAATGTTTACTTATTCAAGACTCTATTGAGCATGTACTGCATGTTGGGTGTTGGCCTCATATATTGGGAAACACCATTGCTAACTCCTGCATTAGGGAATGGCAGAGGCGGAAGAGATCAGGGTGCTGGGCAGCAGGACGCAGTGGGGGATGGGGTTCCCCCAAGGAAGGGATGGGGGTAACCTCCCAAGAAGCAGGGGAAGAGGAGGAACAGTGGGAAGGGCACTCCCAGTAGAGGGTATGTCCAGGCAAAGGTCCTGAGGTGAGATTCAGCTTGGCCCACCCAAGGGAGCTAATGAGGCTGGTCTGGGGAGAGAATGGATGAGGGGGAAGATGACCTCAGGTCAGGCATTAGGGCCCACTGAAGACCGAGGAGATAGTGTGGCTATGCATGTGTGCCTCAAGCCTCATCTAATCCTAAAACCTTGGGAGGCAGTTTCTGCCTCCTGCCCAGAGAGGTCAAGAAATTTGGCTAGGGTCACACAGCCAGTGTGGTGTGTGGAATTTGAACATGAGTGTGTTGGCTCTGAGGTCTCCTGGGTGGTACCTCATACAATTCTGCAGAATGAATGAATGAATGAATGAGTGAACGAATGAATGAATATTGGTGGTAGGAAGTGAGCCAGGAGCTGGGCACAGAGACCTGAGGCAAAGGACTGCTCCTCCTTAGACGTGAGGGCTCCTGGATTCCCAGTGATGGGGCCGGTGCGCACTCTAGTGGTCAGAGTAGGAATGGCTTGGAATCACCCTTGAGCCTTGAGGAGGTTTCAGAGGGGGGTTGGCAAACAAGTTCCTATTCCTAGCCTCTTGACATACAAGACGG